TACGCCATTCACACCGACCACAGCGGGAACCGTGAGCCCGGAGTCACTCAGCTGGTGGCCTGCGCCCTGTACGCGGTGGCCCTGGTTTGCACTGCGTGTCTGACTACACGAGAGAATCACCATGTATCTACGATGGCTGTTAGGGAATGCAGGGCCTTGGCAAATGGATTTGTTGTGAATCCCAATCCAGGGAGAAATCCAGGAGGCGTCAGCCCAGGGAAAGACTTTCCGGGGACGTGAAAAGGAGCCATCCTTCAAGTTCCTCAGGCCCGGGCAGCTCAGCCAGTCCCACTCCCCACGCGGCTGGAGCCTCCGCTCAGACGGACGAGGGCTGGATTCGAGTGCCCGAGGTAATTTCTCACCCGGAGTAAGATCAGACACAGAGTCATCTGGAAATTTAAATTACCACTGTTTACACTGAGCAGGCTCCTCACACGGAGGAACTGTTTCCAATTAGGAAGCACGCAGGCTGGTCGCCATCAGGGGCTGATGGGACACCCTCTGAGAGTGGGGAGGTGAGACGGCCCAGACACCTAATTACTTGGAAAGATAATCTTGAATAATTGGAATTAGAGCAACTAGAGCAATTATCAGCTGTTGTGATCTCCAGGGCAGCCCTCCTCCAGGCAGAGGGGTTCAATCACCTCTCATAAGAGCACGTAATTAGAGAGATCCAGAATGTCAGCACGGAAAGTGGCGGAACCAGCACTTCAAAAGGGGGGCGGGGGCATGTGTGATGCTGAGAAACGGAGGCCGGAGGGAAGGTGGGAAGGACGTGAGGGGTGAGAAAGGATGGGTGGCGTCAGCAGGGCGGGTGGGTACTGCTTAAAAGACTTCAGGAGCCTGGAGCCTGACTCTAATGTACACTTGCTGTGTGGCCTCGAGCAAAGCACTTAACCTCTCTGGGCCCTACTTTCCTTCCACTCTTCAGTCACTCAGCAAATGTCCAAGGCACATCTGCCTGAGGCCTGGCCCTGAGGGCACCGGGTCTCACTCATTTCCACATGCCACTCATTCTCCAGGAATGACCTCCCCGGGAGCCCCTCGCCCACGAGACCAGACGGAATATCACTCCTCCTTCAGGACCTTCCCCACGTGGCCCCCTCTGCACAGCCCTCTGTCCCCACGCCGGGCCCGGCTCATGGAGGTGGCGCTCCCCTCCCGTCTGTCCCCCAGAAGGGGGCTCCTCAAGAGCAGAAGCTGTAGGAGACTCCCCTCCAGTCCTGGCCCCTGGCACACGCCCGGCAGGAGCTGCTGACCGCTGGCCTGAGGCGAGGTGACCGGAGGTCACTGCAGCCCGTTCCTGAAGGCGAGGCGGCTGTCTGCCCTGCTCCCAGGACTGATCGGCACAGCTGGGGCCGCCTGTGGGGAGATTACGGATAATGACCAGGAAATGATCTCCTTCTGTGGGAGGACCCGAGCTCGGCCGCCTCCGCGGATGGGCCAGGCCATTCAGGCGATGGACGGTCCCCCTCGGCCAGTGGCTGCAAGAGCGACCTCCATCTTGGCTGGGAATGGCAGGTGAGTGGGAACAGGGACCTGCGAGCCGCTCTGTGCCCTGCACTGTCTGTCCCATCGGATGAAAGAGGCAGAGCGCCCCTGCCGCCAGCCCTGGACCACAGGCAGCTACTCGGCTACCTGGGAGCACAGAGCGGGAGTAACCGACTCAGCCTGCAGGCGAGGGCGGGCTTCGAGGAGCCAGGGCCTGTGGGTGGGCTCGCGCAAGTTGATAGAGTTCCCCAGGCAGCCAGGGGTGAAAGATCGCCCGGGATGGATGCACAGGCACAGGGCGCCCTGGCCCCCCGCGTGTGTGGGCTGCAGCCAGCAGGCTGGCCCCCTCGTGGCTCCCACATCAGAGCCTGGGCAGCTGTGGAAGCTGGTTGCCACCCCGCTTCCCTGCTCAGCATGTTCTGATCTATGCACGTTTCAGTTCTATGGCATAAATCAATAAAATGCACTAAATAAATTAAGTGAGCAGCAGAACTGTAAATAGATTTCAGACGGAGAATAGAGAGGTTGAGGGAACCAACAAGAAACTGAAGTGAGAAATGACTCAGGCAAGACTCCGGATTGTGGCCAGGAGCCGCCACATTGTTACACAGCAACGCAACATCAAACAAATGAAACCTACAAGCCTCGGAGATTGTTCCACAAAAATTGCCAGCTGGTGGCTGCCAGAAATCCCAGCGCGCGGGGAGCCGGGATGGCTTAGCACACAGCTCAGCCCAGGTGGGTCGGAGCAGACGGTGGCTTCAGAATCAGGGTCCAGGTTTTTGAACCCAGATGAGCTACCTCGTGTCTGTAACATGGCCCTGTTCCTTCTTCATTCATTCATTCATTCATTCATTCATTCAACAAACCTTCACTAAATTCTTGCTGTGTGCCAACCCATCTGGGGCACAGGAGCCACAGAAAAGACAAGAGCCAGTGCCTGTCCTCAGGGAGCGTCCAGTCTGCTGGTGGGGATGACCTCAGAGCAGCGTGACAGGTGCTAACAGGACCAGTCACAGTGGGTACCTCTGGGGTTCGGGTGGCATTTCAGAAGAGGTCATGTCTAAGCTGGGTTTTGAAGGATCAACAGAAGTTTGCAAGACAAACAGGTGGTGACGGCAGTTCAGGCAGAGGAAACAGCATGTGCAAAGGCGCAGGGGCATGAGAGACGATGGAGAGTTTGGGGGGGTCTGCATGCAAGTTGGGGGGCAGAGCTGGCGCACAAGGTCTACGTCACGGATGGTAAAAGGTGGAGTGACAAGCCCTGGGTCACGGAGGGCCATGACCGCCGCATTAAAATGTCCTGGGTGAGGCTGGGAGCTATGAAAGGATTTTCATTTCCGAAAGATAACAGGAACTCAGGGTGGGAAAGTTTGCTTTACTTTTCACTGACATATCCCATATCCCGTGTGTACAGAAAAGTGCGTGCACGGCAGGTGTGCAGCCTGAGGAGCTGGCACGAACTGAGCACACCGTGTAACCAGCACCCGGATGAGGGAGCCGAGCGTCGCCCGCTGCCAGAGCCTTCCGCACGCCGCCTTCAGTCACGCCCACTCTGCAGGGCAGCCACTGTCCTGATCTAACAGCAGAGATTCGTTCTGCCTGCTCCGCTCCCGGCTTTATGGAAATGGGAGCGTATAGTGTGTAGTCCTCTGCTGGCTTCTTTTGCTCAACATCTGTGCTGCTGGGGGCGGTGGTACACGGTTCATTCTCGGTGCTACTCGGTCTCCACCGTGTTGACGGGCGTTGAGGAATTGCAATGAGGATGCTGCAGTGCAGCCTGGCAGCAAATCTGAATCATGGGAACTCGGTTCATTTATTCATTCGTCCATTCATTCATTCACTCACTCACTCATTCATTCATTCACTCACTCATTCATTCATTCACTCACTCACTCATTCTTCATTCATTCATTCATTCTTCATTCACTCCCAGTGAGAGCCCATCTGCCTGTGAGGATACGCTCCCACCTGGGGCTTAGGAACCGGGAACTTCACACCTTGACAGAGCGTTACTGGGGAATCTGGTTATTCTAACGACGGGAGGAAACCCAACCGTCTTCATGGGCTCTGAGCAGGGACCTGAGGTGCAGCCCAGTCCAGCAAAGGGGCATCTTGATTCGCGGCTGCAGCCCTTCCACCGTAGTGGACCCTGTGCTTAGCCATCCCCGCTCCGCAGGCGGCCGTCCGCCTCGTTCAGCCTTGCTCCCCAACGCCCAGCCCAGAGCTGGTCACGTAGCTGGTGCTCAGGAGTGTACACTGGCTGCACTCAGAGGTGCTCCCCTGGGGCCTGGCGAGGGAATGGAGGTTTGCTACCTCACCCAGACGCTGTGGTCACTTTGGGGTCACAATGGCCAGAGGAGACCTTGACTAGCAGTTCAGGCAGAGGAAACAGCATGTGCCCTTAGCGTGTCTCAAACACACATGCACCCAAAAACCTCGCTGGGCCAGTTCCAGCACAAGCAGCTGCCAACCATCCTTGAGGCCTGTGGTCACACCCAGGTGGTATCATACGCTCTGTGCCTCAGTTTCCTCATCTGTAAAATGGGGGTTAAATGAGCCAATGTGTGTGGAGTTCTCAGGATGGTACCCGGCACATGGTCAGCATGGCATGGAGCCAGGCAGTGTTTGTGTCATGATCATACCCACGTTTTGCAGACCAGGAGGAAGTCACAGAGCGAGCAGGGCAGGGTGAGAGCCTGGGAGAAGGATGCTCTTCAGGGAGAGCACGCCTGGGCTCCAGCTCTGGCCCCGACTCCCTGTGGCCCGGAACAAGCCGCGCATCACTGCCCTGTGGAGCGGACAGTGTGGCGAGGACACTGCGAGGGCCCTGCTCCCACAGGAGCCTCTGGGAGGGCCGGAGCGGGAGGCCGGGGAGAGGCCACCCCACGGACCCCCAGGGAGGGCTCAGTGCTTGAGAGGCAGCAAGTCCAGGCCCAGCTTTCAGCAACTTGGCTGCAGAACCAGCCCACTCAGCCTCCGGGTCAGCATTTTATAGACACAGCCAGAAGGTCCACGCCGTGGCCGCCAAGCCCTGGAAGTGAAATTATGAGGCCAGTAAAACACGAAGACGCAACCTCTCCAGGCGGGGGGCCTCATAACAGAAGCAGGAATAGAGGTCTGGTGATTCCAGAAGGAGGCACAGCAAGCCACCTGTCACCGTACATGGACACAGGGTACACACATCCACACACACTCACACGTGCACACACACACGCACACATGCATGGTCATACACGGACACAGTCCCAGCGTGCCCTGGAATGACGGGAGTGTGGTGTCTCTCAGCACCGCCCACGGGGCAGGGAGGGCAGGACGGTCTTCCTCTCCCGCTTCACCGATTGCCATTTCGGGAGAGATTTGGGGAGAAGCTCCGAGCCCTGCAGGGGTCCGGCTGGGCCCCGGGCCAGGCATGCTGAAGGAGCGCTCTCACGGGGCTGGGCAGCCCTAGCAGGGCCGTGTCTGGAGGGGAGGCCCGCACGTGGAGAGGGGAGCAGGCCCACACTTACCTTTCTCCGACGCTGGGGCCAGGTCAATGAAGCTGCGGCATGTCTCACCTTAGAAAAGAAGAGAAGGCTTTTCAGAACATGAGAGGCAGGGCGCTGTGGGCTGTCGCCGCCCCCTCCCGAGAGCCTGTGGACGAGGGGGCCCGAGCGTCTGTAACCCGAGTGGGATCTTTCTCTGGCCCTTATTCCTGGGAAGGCCGTGTCCCTGTGGATATGGGCTGAGCAGCACCTGCGATGCCACCTCCTCTCTCACCTCCCAGCCCATCCAGTCCTGCCCCCCACCCCAATCCCCTCAAAGCCCTGTCCCTTCCCACCGTCCAGGCCCAGCAGGGCGAGGCCACAGACCCTCGCGGGGCATCAGGGCCTCTGTCCAATCCGTTCTCCACACTGAAGCCACAGGGATGTTGTCAAAACAGCTCTGACCACATCCAACACACACGTGCACGCACACACGGACACACACATATGCACACACCTGCTCAAAACCCTTTCATCTTTTCCCGAAGGATAAAGCCTGAACTGCTCAGGTGGACCCAGGACTGGCCCTCTACCCTCACCCCTGCCTCCTTCCTCTCAGCTCCCGTGTCCTCGTCTTCCCTCCCACCGCGAGGGCTTCACACACCTGCGCCCCCTGTCGGAACACGCTCCCCCTGTTACCATCCCCATGGCACTGGCCTCCTGCAGGGCACCCAGTCACTGAGAATTCTTCCTGCATGTGATTGGTGGGTGGACGGCTGCACGCTGTAGCCCCACAGGCAGGCGCCACGTCCCCAGTGCATCCCCAGCTCAGTGGCTGGAACCCCACGGCCCAGGTGCTCCAGCCAGAGCCTCGATTTCTCTCTCCCTCACACCCCCACATGGCCTGTGGCTCCAGCTTCCCAGGACCCCTAGAATCCCACCACTTCGCATCACCTGCGCGGCCCAGCACTATCATCTCCCACCCCATCGTTGCAGTAGCCTCTGCCCGCGTCTCCCTCTTTCTTCCCTTATCCACACAGTGGCCAGAGGGTCCTGTTATAACCTGCGGTTATGTTGTCTCCGTTCAGAACCCTCCTCTGATCCCCACTTCACTCGGAGTCAGAACCTACGTTCTCACCGTGGCCTACAAAGCCCTGTGCAATATTGACCCCCATCACCTCCCTGACTTCGTCTGATATCTTCCCGCTGGGTCTCTCCATCCAGCCACGATGGCCTCCTTGCTGATCCTCAAATGTGCCAGGCACACCCCTGCCTCAGGGCCTTTGCACAGGCTGCTGCTCCTGCCCAGAGCATTCTTCCCCCAGGTAGTGGAGTGGTTTATCCTTCTTCCTCTCCTCCATCACTTTCCTCTGATGTTGCCTTCTAGGGAGGCCTTTCCTAACCTGTTTAACATTCCAATCTCCCGACACTCCCCATCTCTTCCCACCGGACCCCGATCCCCTCTAGTAGTGCCTGCTACATAGTGAGTGCTCAATCAATATTTATTGAAGGGGCATATGAATAAATGAACAAATGAATAGATGGACAAATAGGAAGTGAATGAATGAATGCCTTGCACCAAACCTTGCTCCTCAAAGTTATGAAGTAGCAACAAAAATAATCTTATGGTTGGGTCACAACATGAAGAACTGTATTTAAAGGGCCAGAAGGTTGAGAACCACTGCTCCAGACGCTTCCTTGTAAAAGGAGCACACACCGGGCCCCGCCCCCCTCACCTCACCTCACAAACACATTTTATTTGGCTCACACAGGATCCTGAAAATCAGGAAACGGTTGCCTACAAGCCCAGACTTCTGGTTTTCTCTTGAAGAACCAGAAGAGCAGGCCACGCTGGGCCCACAACCCCACAGCAGCCGTCAGAAGGGGCGGGGCAGACGCTGCCCCCTTCAGCCGGGCACATGGCTCTAGTTTGCCACAGTCCCCACCACTCCCTGCTGCTCTACCCCTCGCCTCACCTACAGCACCCAGCTGGCCCCTGAGAC